CGCGGTTTACACACTCGCGGGGGATTAGAACGATAAATTGTTGTGTTTTATTATTTGCGGGCATCGTTAGTAATTAGTCCGCGCAATTTACGCGTTTACGCGTGTGCGCTTGTACGAGACGCGATAAAGGGACGTTCGGTGAGCGTTGATCAAGCTCGCCGTTTTGATTTAATCTTAAACTCTTCGCGAATCGGTCCAGTATTCTCTTTAATCTTTCTTTCTTCCCTTCTTGATCATTCTTTTATCTGCACCGTAATTTCCTTCGAAAACATCTAAGTCTTGTTACGAAGATTCTAGAATTACACTATTCTTCCGCAGATCTCAATATCCATTTTTATTAAACAGGTTTCGTTCTTCGCGATGTATCGCAAGTTTCCAAAGTCTCGGATGATTCCATTCGAAGATGTGTGCCACGTGTTTCGAACAGATTTGGAATTCGCAGTGTCCAATTTACGGTGCACACCATTTCCACAACAATATGAGTAATAACGCGATCTACATTCAACGCATTTTAACTAAGATATTGCAATAAATAGTTATTCCCATTACCTTTCTAATACTAACAATATGAAACAGATAAACGAGAGACGTAACCTGATTCCACATAACTGACAACGATACAAATGTAATATTAGGTTCAATTACAAATTAGTTTTCATGATCATTGTTATGAATCTCCAAATGAAATTCATGTAACTACGGTAACTAGTTACTATTTCATATGCGAATAAAACTATCGAGCAACGAAAGTACTGTTCAATATTCCATCCAGAATCAACGAATGAGAATTAAGAACCTTTTCATCCACATTTCGGCAAAAACAACGATTACAATCGTAATGCCACGAATCCTCTTAAATGACACAACATATTAATTCCTGAGAACCCATTACACACCGAAAAATTATTAAACTCATCTATAATCTAGCATAGACATTAAAGAATTTATTAACCGGTCAGCTGTTTCTGACGAGTATACTCGTCACGAAGAAAAAACAAGGTTTCCTATTATGACGAGTGCACTCATCCAAAAGTAGCTAACTAGTCAAAGGAATATTCATTTTCAAAACAACCAATTTTATAAGTACACATTACTAGAATGAAAATTTTTGAATTATTTCTAGACATGATTACGTAGACATACCACAATAAGATACACTTTCCAAAGAGAACAGCTAACTAGTTAATAGATCACACTCCTCCCAATCCCCTTCAATTTCCCCTATGCGCTCAAACATCCACAGAACAATATACCACAAAGGAAATTCCCTTTCAACCCTTCCCACTCCTCAATACAGATTACTTCAGGGACGCCGCGGGGTCAAAGCGCAAGCTGAAGTCTCCCGGCGACCAGTTAGCGCGAAAAGAAACGTCCGGCGCGCAAAGTGGTTAATTTACTCGCGCCGCGTCGAAAGAATCTCTGTCCGGTCGGATTCAGGGAACAAAGCGAGCCGAGCAATTCCAATTAGAAAGAAGACTTGGCCGGCAGCAGCCGCAGTTGCGGTGAAAAATCTGTCGCCATCTGACCGACGGGATTCCGCTAATTCGATTCCAGCCGGCGATTCGTTATTCCCCAGTGCCGGGAAGCGTGGAAACACTGATTCGCCGGAAGCCGATAAGGGAGGAAAGCATTACGCCGGTGCGTAAGCTCTGCGTGCGCGCGCGCACGGTAACAGAGCGGATGTATCGGATGTCCAGATCTCACAACCTGCCGCTGCCGTGCACAGATTTTTCGTAGCTCAACGACCTGCTGACCACTCTCATGTGATATCCGATAACGTCCACGGAGGTCCTTATTATACCCAGCAGGACACTGGCTCTCTCACGACTTTTACGGATTCCCCCCGCGCGCGCCTGGAATATCCGCTTTCCGATCAAACGCAACTCGCTGGTACTCGCCCGAGGACGATGAAAACCGGTGACCGCGGCGGGAACGTATTTTCGGATTTTCGTGCTACGAAAACCGAAATACGTTCGGTATTCTTGGATTTGTGGGGTATAAGTCTTCTAAACTTGTATCTTCGGATTTGTGGACACCGCGTGAGAGCATATTTTTAGGTCGCGGTGTGCTGCGATTACGTGTATGGATATCGGAACTGGGTATTCGAGAGTTGTTCGAATCGAATTTTGCATTTGATCTTGTTTCGGGACAGATGCGAACAATTGGGTTGATTTATGTGGTATATGTTGTGTGCTTATGGATTGTAGGATTATTTTGTGTGCGGGCGAGTGAGTTAACGGTATTATCGATGCATAGAATAACTATGAAGTTGAAAATTTGTATTTTCTAAGTATAGAGTAATTATTCTGTTGTAGTAACTAATTGTGTTCTTCGTTTGTTATTTATATTTTAAGCGAAATGTGCGACATTCTGCTATTGATTATAATTGAGTCGCGAATTTTTATGCATTCAATGCATACATTCGTTTTATTTGTCCAATCTATCTTGTTTCGCGACTAACAAAGGCAACGGGTAAATGTACCGAAAATATTAAATAATTATAAGTAGTAAATAATATTTTCCTTCTACTGATACGAGTTAAGTAGTATTCGTATGTTTCAAATTTAATATTCAGTCTTCGTCGTGAATGTGTCTCGATTTATGAGTCAAAGAAGAAAATACACTTGCTAATGTGTCTGACTATTCCCAACTACTTCTACTTGTAACCAATACTGATAATGTATCGATAATATAATATTAACTTTTAATGTCCTAAATAACTCTTTATATAGGATTATCTTGAAAAGTAAATAATACTATCACTGTCGCTTTAAACAAGTATTAATACAAGTAGAAGTAACTAGTGATGATCAGACAAATATGTTAAGAGGTAACCACTCCTTTCAATGTGTCAAATAAATTTTCGAAAACGAAACTTGAAACAAATTAATATTGGTATAAATATACTTATCAAGACAATTTCAAACAATATAGAACTGAATACGACATATTATATGAAACACTATGTTTAATTAATCATTTATTATTCTGTTAGACGTATGAAAATTAGGTCTTAGTATTAATATACAGATTTCAAGCCTCAACTACATGTAATTACTATAAATCGAGTGAATTAATAAAACCGTTCAGTGGCAATAAAGACACCTTAAGGAAGAATAGAAGCTCTTACCAAAATATATTACATACTATAAAATATCAATGTTCAATAACACTTAAGATTTAAGATAATCTGAAGATCGGATCTTCAAATTCATTAATATTAGCATTTAAATGATAATATAGATAGGATAAAAGCGGTAATTAGATCAGATAATGTACTTAAAAGATCAATCATTCAATTTATAATTTTGTAAAAGCATCCATTAAAACTTCATCATGAGACACATTAGTCCATATCGATCGTTATACTCTTAAATACAGTGATGAAATTATTTTTCCATAGAAAATTCAAAATAAAAGATTTATAACTGTTTTTTATTGTGTCTTTTAACAGAGCTACAATTTTTTATGCTTTGAATAATTATATAAATAAGATTTTCACTTTACTTTTCAACGGCTTCACTTGAGTGAATTGCAACATTCTATATCTTCTTGTTACTAAAAATTCTTAAAATTAAACATTTTTAAAGTTGAAAATAACTTACTTTAAAATTGTTTCTCCTAAAAAATATACTTAAGAAATAAATATCGTTAGTGTATATGTTCAAGAAAAGTAAATCCAAAAAGAAACTTCTTTATAAAATTACAAATGGAGGAAAGATTAAAACGTTTCTTCTTAAGAAAAGGTTTTAAAGCTCCTTTCTTGGTTACAACCTCCATTACAATCTTCGTAGAAAGTGCGAACTAACAGAATTGTAACTTTTTTCTTCTCCCGTTCGGCGTACTTTCTTGCAAAAACTGTTAATAGCTTTAATGGCATACCATTAGCCGCAAAAATACACTATTAATAGCGTTCTAAATGGGAAAAAAACATCTACATATCTGTACAACAGAGAAATTACATTTATATTCATAGTATCGGTTCTGTGGCTTATTAATAGGATTAATTCGAGGGCGGTGAACTATCTTATTGCCTTCATTTACTCGCTTTGTACGCGTCGCACGACTGTCGGAGCTAACTAATGCACCGTATTATACCAAAGACTATACGTATCCATCTTAACGGCACTTTCATTCAATCCGTCGTTGGGGTATTAGATGGACGTGCAGAAATTACACGCTTTACATGACACAATATTAGTACCGTCCATAATAATTAATACCTCGCCGATATGTTTCCATTCGTACCGTTGGCATGTACTTTTCCATAATTCGTAAGTTTAACACACATTCTCGTTCACATGAACCGCGTAAAAATGAAATTTGTAATTCGAATAGTGAAAAGTTTAAATATGAAAATTTCCCGCTTAAAATGATAAAATACTGCAAAATTGAAAATATAAAAATATTCTTATAAATATTCTATCCCAGTTGTTTACTCTTTCTTTTACTTCTTATATTTTTAGTTTAGTGTTCCACGTTTAGGAACAGTTATTATTTTCGTATCAGAATGCATGAGAGATTACGATAAAAATAACTCGGACGCCGAATTTTTTTTATATAATGATTTATAGGGAATCCCCGGCATGCAATAAAATAAAGTACAAAGGAAAGAATTTCCACTTCGTGGAAACTTGTTTTCTTACGCGCGAGTGAAAATATTTTTATGCGTGCAAGTAGAATCGGATATATCGGTTTTGCAGGGAATGAAGAAAACATGTTCAAATTACACGTTCTCGGCTATTATGCTTCCGCGAATATTAACCTCGAACGGGTCGTTTACGCGATTTACCACTCGGCCATTAGAAAATTCTTCAGTATTTTTCAAAAGGAAAAATCTAGTGAGCGATAAATCAAATAAATATTTGTACACCGTGGAAAAACGTAAGTCATTCGAGTCAGCCACAATTCAAAATATCCGAGGACCGTTAATGATGGCGCCAACCGAGCCGACGCGTTGACCAGCATAAAAGAAAAAATTCAAATAATTTTCAAGTTACCTGACTTTCCGACTCTGGGGCCGCCGAGGACGACCACCCTGATCCTGTTGACGTTTGTCATCAGACGTAGATGTTAGGTGTCATCCGAGCCTCGCTTGCACATTATATACTCTCCAATTGACACTGTTCGCGTTGCTTTTCACTCTGCGCGCCGTTCGTTTCGTTTTAACGACATTAAGGTCCATTTACATCGCGCACGCGCGCATACGATCAACCGACGCGGGGGCGACGAACACAAGCGCGCCACAATACGAACCTCGGGAAACACTGCCGCGTTAATATTCCTGCACGCGGGTAATAAACTCGATAGAAAATAAAAAAAAGAAAAGAAAAATAAAGAAGAGAAAACTTTCCTACTTTCTGCTTCCGATGTGCACCACGAGTCAACGATTTTGTAACGACGATAAAAAAGATCGGGTTACGATCGATGACTGTGTTATTTGCTCCTCTGTCAACCCTCTATTTGTTCGGACTGTAAAGCAACCAGTAGCACCGGTAACGTTGGTTACTTGTTCCGCTTCCACTAATCACCTCGAACCGTAGGGACAGCTCGCGGTGTACTCGAACCCGCGACGTTCATTCCGCGCACGCTCTTCAATGGCGCGATAAACTCTCTGTTGAGTAAGAGCCACCTTTTTAGATGCGTCGTTCTTTCGAAACGTCGCTTAAATGTGATTCACTGCTCCCGACCGTTCGCAGCCCTCTCGACGAATCGTCACAGCCAATTGAAGCATCTCCCCCGAAACAACCGGTGAACAATTCCAACCGATTCGACACACGCGATTCCGGAACACCGGTTCACTTCCGGCGCGTCCCGGTTTTCGTTTCTATCGCACGTCGAGAGACCTGTCGCACTGTACGCGCCCGAAAGTTCCTCGGCCGACGAACGTCGCGCACTCGTCTGTTCGTCGCGTCTGTTGAAAACGCCACTTTCTGTCCCCCGATTTCTCGCTCGCGCGATTTCTCTTTTTTGTTCCCCTCGAAAACTTCACTTTCCACGTACTCGCTGCAAGCTGTCGAGACTGCAACTTCTCCGGACCACAGGCTGTTAAATGTCGGCGTACAGCGGCGTTCCGGTCGCGTCGCGGGAAAACATGCGGGCCCGCGCGCCAACACGCTGCGAATAATAACACAAGAAACGATTCAAGAAATGCTGTCTTGCTAGTTCCATTTATAACGGGTCGACGGCCTCCCTCTCCTCATCTTCTCTTCTCGCTTGGCGCCGCCAACGTCGGTCGCCCGTTCGGATTACGAAAAGGAGAAAAGAATAAAGAAGGTTAGACGTGTACCATGCGCGCGCGCGCGCGCACCAACAGAAGAGCCACTCGCTCCCTCGGACGGGCAGACGAATACTGGAAGCGACCGGCGCGGAGAACTAGACTCCGAGCACCGCCCACGTGCTCTCTCGCAATTCTTGCGTCGCGCCGCTCGAATTTCTTTCTTTCGCTGGATCTTTCCGGCCCACAGATTTTCGTGTCGAACGAGATCAGCCACGAGAAATCGTAACTGCGGGCTTAAAGCGGACAGCGTTGATTCAGACAGCGTTAACGGGCTTTGCTTCAAATGTCACTCTTTTGCGGGTACTGCTTGAACGTCTTCGCTGCTGCGCGCGCACACCTTGCGCGTTTGTAACGAGCGACGGAATATTATTTAGAGAAATTTTTTAGCGGGTCCACGTCGGTTATTTATGTTCCATATTCGCCTCGGATAAATGAGGTACAGCGATTAGTTAAATGCATTTTATGAAAATATACGCGTGTGTTTTGTAAGCAAGCGTGTATCGTGTTATACCGCGAAATTCGAATTTCAAAAAAGTATCACGTTCCGTTTGTGAACTGGTTTACCGATATTCTTGTATATGATTCATATATCAACTTTACATGATTCACTACTTGCAATTAATGTCACAAGATTAGATAACGTTAATTGATTTGATCGTTCAACGGGTCACATTGTTGTTTGGAAAATTTCAATGCGTAACGTTTCCGTTGGAAACATTCCGTTATCCGCACGAAGTTGGAATCGACCGTTTCTAAAACACACCGCGTAACAATCGTGAACGGTTGATGTTTATAGAGTAACGAACGGCAAAACGTGTGCAATTAAAGCCAGTGCTTCCTCCGCGAACAATACACGCGCTAATCGGCCTTTGTTTACACGTTGAACACTTTATCACGGTTTATCGTACGCCGTGGATGACAGATGCACACATTGTAGTACGATACTGACGCGCCAAGCGAGAAGAGCTTAACCTCAAATCGTTTGTACAAACGATCACGTCGGAGGAAGATTTTCGAAGGTAATTCAAGTGTATGGGACAGGGAGCCATTGAATTTCGTATCGGCGCGACCTCCAGAAGGTCGACCATGTTATGCAAACATTAAACAGCACACAAACGTTGCCCATGTTTGTACAAAAAAGTCGATCCCCCTCGCAATAATAACATGTGATACGAGTTGACGTAACGAACGTACGAAATCACGCATAAATAAATACCTGATATCTACGATCGATAAGAAATTCACTCAACGAAGAATTCCACGTATGTCGTGTAGTCTCCCACGTATCTTTTTCGTTATACCGTGGCAGTAAATAATACAGGACGAGACGAAATTCACGGACGACAATATACGCGGACGAGAGAACGAGCGACCCGAACACGACACACGGAAACACCTCTGGCACCAATCTCACCGAGCGCTCGCCGGCGAATGCTCGAGCTTGAGCGCCTCGCGCTGTCTAATATGCACTCTCCAGTCTGCCCACTGCACGCCTCGACCACGGCATGGCGTACCGCTCCACGCTACAAGGTGACTGGCGTGTTAACAGGTAAGCGGAGACCGATGCGCGAGCGCTAGTATGCAAGCGCGTGTCCACGGCTACAGATAGCTACGGGAATACTTTTCTCTTTACAGGCACAATAACTTCTGCCCCGTCCGAGGTGCCATGCCTCGAATTATCGGGTTATCGTTATCGGATCGAACACGCTTCTCATCGATGATAATTTTAGATAACAATCGACGAACCCGTCATCCCTGATAAAGGTGAACTACAGGTTGAGGCCTAAATGTTATGGTGGAGATCAACATTGAAGCCCTCGCTTCACGTGTGTATGGAAATTTTTGTATTTTTCGTCAATTTTTTCATTTAATTTATTGCAATTATTAGTTCATATTAGGATTAGGATTGATTTTTGTAATTGATTGATATACGTTGTTAGGATACGCCTGTAAGACGTGGACGTTGTTCATGGAGGTCTAATTAGCGACCATCTATTTAAGGTTTGCATAAGGGTCTTAAACTAACAAAAGTTTAGGTATCATTCCGAATGGTGTATTATGAATAATCAGGCAAGTTGTGTGCACGCGTCGCTGCATATCCTCCGCCAAACTTTCGTTGGAAACGCATCATAAGGAAGCCTCCCTACATTACCAGTCGAGTCACTATCCTCGTAGATAAACCGTACGAAATTGATAATTCGGTTTGGTGTCCATGGTAACGTTATTAAGCGACTTCTAACAGACGAAACCTTTTGTCACACGAACGTCATATTTTTTGTTTAATAACATGGGTGAAAACGACACAGAATTTGTTCACGTCGCGAAACATGGCAAGAAATCCTTGCTCGAAAGATACGATATACCGGTTGAGCATCTTTCGTACGAATACATTTCCGAATGCACAGATGCGAAAAAGTTGGAGCGCATTGTAATTATACTGCGGTAAGTGAAAATTAGAATTCGACGCGGTTCCGAATTTTTGGAAAATGAAATTTTCAAATGTTACTGTTGGTATTATAAAATTTCTTCCCTCTCATTTGTATTGAAGTGTTTTAATATTTATCCCGTCTGTAACAACTTTTATTTATAACGGAATACAATAAATTACTTTTTTCTTTTATATACAACTTATTAAAGTATCACATTGCACTTAATTACACGTGCGATGTTTTAATAATAGATCCGGTGAAGAGGGATTTTATCCAGATTTAACGAGACACGCAGAAGAACGTCTGGCCGTTGTTAAGCCAACGAGTATAATTCTAAGAAAGTCTGAACCTATTTTAACACGTAACGTGTTAGATCCGAACGATTGTAAAGAGATTGATACCGATATTAATCGCTGGATGTCCGAAATGCAATCTCGAGAGAAAGATCTCGAAGAAGGAAAAAGTACCGTCATAACGGAACCTATTCTTCAACCGGATATCAGGCAATTTAAGGAGAATCTTGCAAAAGTATCTTCATGTTATAACGTCTTCTCTTACTGTTTTATTATATTTTATTTATATTTATTATTCAATATCATATAAATCTCATTCTGGGTGGTACAGCTTAAATATAGTATGCTTTTTAATTTCATTAGAAAAATACAATAACACATTCGAAAACCAGCAATAAGACAAAACGAATATCCTCATGCGATTATGCTGCATGGGATAGATACGACGTTGATACCGAATTAAGTAAAATTGATATACGAGACGAGCAAAAGCGGACTGAAGCTAAAAGATTCCAACAAAAGCAAAAGGAATCGTTTCAAAAAAAGACACTCGATAAGGAAACAATTCTTAATAAATGTGAGTTGTAAAACATGCAAGTAAAAACAATTAGTGGATTATGTTTTTCTAAAAAAATACATAAAACTATCGATTAAATGCCAAATATGAAGATGAAAGAATATTAATATCAAAATGGTTTCGAGTAATTTTGAATTATCGTTTAATTTCGTCTTGGCCGATTATAAGTGATCCTCTAATTGTTTCGAATATTAAATGTGATTTCATTAATTAAATAGTTTTAAAGAAGCGCGTGCACGATTTTATTAGCGTCATTAACCGGAACCGAATTGAACGTCATGGCGGATCAAGAAAGAGGAAAGGGAAACGAGGCTTTCAAGGTTGGAGATTACGAAGAGGCTCTTGAACATTATAATACTAGCATAAAAATAGACTCGGCTATAACCACTTACAATAATCGCGCGATAACATGTAAGAATAATTATCTCTTTTTTTTTAATGAGGGGAAAATGCATTACACACACGCGTGCAGATGTTGGTGCACGGTAGTGTGGGACTCCACAAATTGTGTCTATCCGTTAAAAACCCCTCAGCCCTTCTCTCTCGGATTTCGAGACAGGGCGCCGCTTCTGGTATAGTAAGAATAATCATCTCAACATTAAAATTAGTAGCATTGAAGGTCATTTATTTGCGTGTTTTCAGTTATCAAACTTGGACGTTACGAAAACGCCCTCAAGGATTGTAACTTTGTTCTCAGCGCGGATTGTATGAACATAAAAGCTTTACTCCGCCGTGCTGTAGCTTTAGAACATCTCGAAAAATCATCCGAGGTATCAAAATACCAACTGATTTCTTCATGTATACAAATTTTATAGCAAACACCGTTAAAACGAATACTTCATTAATATCCAGGCATTAGCTGACTATGAAACTGTTTTAAAATTGGAACCGACAAATTCCAGTGCTATAGCTGGAGTCAATAAATTGAGAAAACCTTGTGACTCTAAGAAAGTAAGGTAAGAAAGTGTATAAAAAGGTAATTTAAACTTAACATAATAGATCATGGCATTCGTAGAATGGTTATTGTCGAACAAAACGAGACTGGAGATGAAGGAACACAAAATAAGAAAACCGAAGAAAATAATAATTATAACAAACAATCTGAATCGAAAGTAAATATTGAAAGTAGTATATGTTACTGCGACAGAGCTCCTGGACCGTCGAAAAATTTAAGACCTAGGCCACACTTCAAGGGGGACTACTGCCTTGAAAATGATAACAAACAAAAAGTGCTAGTTGAAACTAACGTTTCGAAAAGACCAGAGTTGAACAAAAATTTAATTGACAAAGTGTATAATTCAACACAAAGAAATACGAATTCACCATCATTTGAAAATCCGAAATCAATTTTTTCTTATCCAATGCCCTCTAAACGAAGTAGTTCAGTCATTATCGAAGAATTGCCCAGTGAATTTAGCAATAATAACCCTAAAGAAAATAAAAGTATTTCTAATGGAACAAGTTTGAATAAGAATAATTTCAATAAAAATAGTAATAAAACATCAGAGACTAACAAATTGAATGTTGAAAAGTCAAATGAAAATTGTAAACTTGATGTAGCATCGACTCCAAGAAAAATTCAAGACGATAAATATGAAAGAAAAACTTGCAAATCGGAAAAATATATTTCTAAGGTACGGTTCTAGTAATTTGAGTGAAAACAAGTTAAACATAAAAATTCATAATTGCAGAATTTTAGTACTATTGAAACCTCCTACGAATTCATGCGTATATGGCAGTCATTGAAGAATGATGACTTAGAGATACACGCCCAGTTATTGCGATCTTTGAACGTCGATAAATTAGGTTCAAGTTCGTATTGATAATAAATTATACAGTGGTATGTACCTCGACTTACAAACCGCTCTACATATGAACTTTTTTGGTACTCCATTTTGACCTTTAGATACGAACATAATTTCGAGAAACGAACCGCGATGCTTTTAAAATCTTGAGTTATAATATAATAGAAAACTGGGTTTCGAAACACGAATTTCGACGAATTTCGACTAATTAAGTTCATAAGTCGAAGTACCACTGTATTAGTAGTACAAAATGTAATTTTGAAATCTTCGTTTTTTGAATAAATTATTTCAGTTTTAGGCAACGAACTTGAGGGAAATATGTTCAGTACTATATTACAATGCTTAGAGCGGCATTTTTGCACTCCTAATGACACAAAACTGCTGAATAATTTCTTAAAGTCATTTAGTGAAGTGAAACGTTTCTCGATTATGAACATGTTCATGAATCCCGAGGATAAACGAGGTAATATTTGCATTAGAACTAGGATAATATTAAATTTAATAAACAGATATTACGTTTACTTTATAATTATAATAATTGTATTTGCATTACAGCAATGAAGAACATATTAAACTTTTTAGAAGAACATGGCACGTCAGAAGTTTCTTCTCTGCGACGAATTTACTGTATCTGAAAGCACCATATGTAGTTTTAAGCGTTTTCGAATTTGGTAGTGACATTTGTGTCAGAAGTACCAACTTTATATAACTTAGTAACAGTACTCGAGACAACACCATCACAATACAATGTTTCGTCTTCTCATTCGTAAGAATGTATAATTAAAACAATTATTCCTAATTCATAATAACATAACAATAAAGATCTATATTATTATTCTATATTTAACTAAAAGTAGTGGGTAAAACATGTTTTGGAATAAGTTACTAATTACCTCCTACTCGTTCCTAGCGCATAGTTATAATTTCCGTTCATGCACGGAAAATCTGTTTGAAATCAAACTAGAAACTATCATAATTTTTCCCTCATTTTTTACCTAAAACAAAATATCATTGGTGGATTCTTTTTTCGATTCCTTGCGTCAATGACTAACCATGATTTTCATGTACTACGCGATGATGGCAGCACATGTATCTCTCCAAGCGAGTGCGCACTCTGGCTTTGTTCCGACATCCGGACTCCGTGACTTTAGCTCTTCGTCAGTTGCGTACTCTTCCGTTCAAGCAGCTTGTGACATTTTTTTCTGTTACTACAAGATGTTTACTTGGATGAGCCGTGCGAATTTCAACGAGGATCCCGATAATTCCGCGTGCAAAGCCACCATGAAACTGCTAAGGAGGCAACAGTAACTGGAAGGTACGTGATCCGGCGTGGTTACGGGCGGCCCGGGTATGTTTATAGCCTGCAAACTCTGACATAGCAATGGCGTACTGTCGCCGTAAAGGCCGTGCCAACAAAATTGTCCCCTGCCTTATTTAGCGTAAGTCAATTGTGCACGCGGGAATCCGCCGGATAAACGGTGCTTCGTATGTAGTGATGCGGCTCATGGTGACAAGAACTATTTGTGTTTCCTGGTGATGAAAAGTGGCGTTTTTCGGTGATTATAGTGTGCCTCGGTTTTCCCCACTGTGGAGTGACCGCCGATTGCCGAGCGGCACGCCATCCTGCTGTAGCTGACTGAGCTCTATACTGTAAAGAGATTAAAAGTTATGTGAATTCGGACCGAGACACGAGTTAGTGTTTTTATTTACCGACGATACGCCGATTTTAAGCAAAACAGATTTTTTCCATGAAAAATATTATTACCATGGGAATATATAATACCGCTATGGAAATCAGCATTGACACGTAAGAAATGATTGATGTGTTTTGTACACCGTTTGTACGTGGTTCGTTTGTCGTTAAATTATTAAAATAGAGAATTTTCTTTCTGTAAATATTTTTGTCTGGTTTTTCGTGGGTTAGAGATATATAACGGTTTACGTAATAATTATAATTTTTCAAAAGTTTGAGAAAAATGTATGAATATAATAAACGGTCTCATTTCATTTATGAAGGTATATCTACTCTTGGTATTTGAAAAAATAAATGAAAGTATAGGTTTAATTAATTTCTAGTGAAATTGTTTGAATTAGCATTACTTTGCACTTTTGAAATAGATATGCTTGTTATTTTCATTGAGGTGTATTCAATTTTAAAACAAAAATAAATATTTTGTTAGAAATTTTGATGCTTTTTGTTTATTTCACGATTTTAAATGTCTGGTAAATTTGTTAGGCAAAAACATGTGAGTACTCATTTTGAAAAGCATAAGAATATGGGATACAAAGTTGAGGATGTCGTCAAGGTCAAAATCAGACTATATTTTATGTTTTTATATAACATATGTTTATGAGATTTTACATTGTTATTAAATTCTTTGCTAGGTAAATAATATAATGAATAACGTATCATTCATTTTATATATCATTTATGCTAAGAAATTATATTAACTGCAGTTTATTTAATCAAATTCTATAATAAAGTTTATGAATCTAAAAAAGAAATTCAATATTATTTTTCAATAAATTTGAATATGCTATGATATTAAAATATGTAATTGAACATAATAGCAAATAGTATTATAAATTTAACATATGTTTATAACAATGAAGATTAATGTTAATTAGACAGATAAATTTTTTATAAGGTTTAGTAATTCAACATATTTAAAACAATTAAAGAAAAATACATTACATTTAATTTATTGATGTATTAACGCAGCTGACGCTCGATTTACGCGAAAATCGTTTCACGTGGATTCGTTTTACGCGAATGAAAATCGCGTAAATAGAGTTATTGGTAAAAACTGGTATAAGTTTTAGAAATAAATATTTATTTCACAGAGTTAAACAAAAGAAATAATAAGAATGACATTTCAGAAAATAAAAGTACATTTTATTCGATATTACTAAATTCAGATCGCGCATGGAAATTACCGCGTAAATAGTGTTTTAATTTACCGGAAAAAAAGTCCGCGTAAATCGAGGGTCGGATGTATACAAAATTTTTTTAATTAATATTTCATTTATGTTTATAGGACTACATAGCAACACAGGTCTAGTAGAGGTGCCATGGATGATGAAGAGCGTCTTGAGGGTGAGGAAGAAATGGAATTAGATGAAGCTTCTGATGGCGAAGATGAAGATGAGGAAACAACAGGAATTCCTGTCTCTCCAGCAAATTCTGATCAGTTGCTTGGCTCAGCACCACCAATTTCTGGTAACAGTGAGTATATGTTTCTTCCTTTTTTTAATTGTTATAAATCACTCATGGCATATATCATGCGATATTATAATTATTAACTTTCAGTATACAATACTACTTAAAAATATATATGTTATTTCAGAGGAAGCACAAAAGTTTGTTTCTCTTGCAGTAACCCCAGATGAAGCTTTTCATGATCCTTTACGGTACCAGAAATTTCCACTTCCTGGAGGTAAACCTTTAAGTATTAGAAGGGGTCCAGGTAGACCTAGAAAAGAACGTCCACCTGGAATTACACGTGGTAGTGGTACTCGTAGACCCTTCGGAAGAGGAACTAATAGAGGCAAAGGGTTAGTGCAATATACATACTGTAAAAGAATAAAATAAAAAATTTTTATATTATTATATTGGTAATTGAGAAATATGTTTTTAATTAGTCTTGGGTATGCAAGAGGTGTACCACGCCGTACTAAAAGTAAAGATGATGATACACATTCAGAGTCTCCAAGTCCTCTTCGCCTTGGTGAGGATGCTGCTCCTGACGGGGAGTCATCCAATGCCGAGAGATGTATGCCAGCACCAGAAGAGCCTCCATATTTTCCAGAACAATGGCAAGACACCTTTATATGTTACTTGCATTTTATTTTACATTGTATAATGGGATATAGTGATTGTAATAATGTTTCTATATACATATATATATAAATATTTCTGTATCTTCAGGCCAGGAAAAGTATGTGCTCTGTGTAATTTGGGTGAACGAAGTCAACTAGGTCAAGGTGAATTATTAAGATTTACCTGCCCTGAAGGTTTTACTCCTGAGAAGTCCACCAATCGTGACGAAACAACTGATCATCTAGTTGATATATCTACTGGAGACAAAAGTCCGCGTGCAGCAGGTCCTGGTGCTGTGACTTGCCGTAGGCAGAAGAGTCTAGCTAAGTGCAGGTATTAAAATTTTAGAAAATTCTTACATTTAATAATACATCTTCAACCCAATTTTTATATGTAGAGATATGTCATTAACTTTATTATACCTGTATAATGTTCTGTAGGAATACTAGTCTAACAAATTTTACGGAACCAGTGGAGGAATTAACTATAGTTGGGTATTCAGAAGAACCCGAAATAGGAACATTATTTGAATCGACTGGGCACTATTACGTTCATCAATCATGTGCAGTATGGTCAAGCAATACCCAAGAGTTAACAACAGAAATGTTAAGCCCAGCAATAGTGCAGGCTTCGTCAAGGCGTTGTGCTTATTGTTCTCATTATGGAGCTGGAATTCCTTGCAAAGTAACAAATTCTACATTTTTTCGCCTTTTTTTTCAGAAAAAAAGGAAGAAAAGATTTTTATTCGAACAAAATACTTTATAACATCGTTCTTTAACAGGTGGCATCGTGCAATCGTTATTTTCATTTACCATGTGCTGCAGCTTCAAGTTGCTTCCAGGATACAAAGAGCTTGTCCCTCTTTTGCAGTCAACATTTGGGACAAGTTCCACTTTTGTGTAAGTTTTACGTGAAAGGATTATGTAAAATATCTATGTTTATGAATCTTTTTGTAGTCATACAAATTAGTGGGTATATTTATGAAATCGGTTTTAATTTTAGTGAACGGTGATGTTACTTGTATGCAGTGCTGTGGAATGGGGGATGTTTCCAATCTAGTAATGTGTTCTATCTGCGGCCAACATTACCATGGCAGTTGTGTTGGTTTGGCACTACTGCCTGGTGTACGGGCTGGCTGGCAATGTGTATCTTGCAGAGTATGTCAAGTGTGTCGTCAACCAGAAGATGTTTCAAAAGTAATGTTGTGTGAACGTTGTGAAAAAGCGTATCATCCTAGTTGTTTACGACCAATTGTTACATCTATACCTAAATATGGTTGGAAGTGTAAGTGTTGCCGTGTATGTACAGACTGTGGTTCGCGTACACCAGGCGCTGGTCTTTCATCACGGTGGCATTCTCATTACACCGTATGTGATTCGTGTTACCAACAAAGGAACAAAGGTTTTTCGTGTCCTCTTTGTAGAAAGGCATATCGGGCTGCCGCGTATAGAGAAATGGTTCAATGTAGTGCATGTAAAAAGTTTGTTCATGGTACCTGTGACCCTGAGGCTGATCCATTAACTTACCAGCATCGTAAGGATTCTAAACCTGACTATGAATATGTTTGTCCACACTGCAAAAACATGGCACTTGTAAAAAGGAAAGATAATATTGACGATTACGGTGGAGATTTAAGTTTAAGTGCGTCGCAAGAGAGTCTGTATGGTGACGGAGATTCATCTGAATTTGATTATCAAGGTGGATCAGAGGAAGCACTCTATTCTATAGGTCTTGGAAAGGGGAAACCATTCTGTGCATCTAAGATTGCAAAGAAGAAATTAGGACTCGGCAGTGGATTAATTGGTCGACCGAAAGGGATTGGTAAGCTTGGATACCAAAAACGACAAAAGATGACAGAATTTGGAAGAAAAAGAGGCCCCAAAGCAAAAATGAGAGGTATCTTCGGAGTACCTGGTGTAGGATTACAGGTATTATATTATTTTCAATAACATTTTTTTTTTCGTTTTTAAAAGCACACGAATAATTATGAATCTTCTGAAATAAATGTTTGTTCTTTCAGAGACCAATGTCAGACTCATTTTCAAAGGAAGATGAACCAGGCATTGAAAATAGACTTGTATTATGTTCTGCAAAGGATAAGTTTGTATTGACCCAAGATATTTGTGTGATGTGTGGTGCAATTGGCACTGACCAGGAAGGGTGCTTAATTGCTTGTGCACAGTGCGGTCAGTGTTATCACCCTTATTGCGCTAATGTAAAAGTTACTAAGGTAATATTACAAAAGGGTTGGCGGTGCCTTGATTGTACAGTATGCGAAGGTTGCGGAGAAAGGAATGACGAGGGTCGTTTGATTTTATGCGACGATTGTGATATCAGTTATCATATTTACTGCATGGATCCACCACTGGATTATGTGCCACACGGTACTTGGAAGTGCAAATGGTGCGCACATTGCCAAACATGTGGTTCGAATGATCCAGGATTTAATAGCAGTTGGCAGAAAAATTATACGCAGTGTGGCCCTTGTGCATCTCATACTATCTGCATATCTTGTCAGGAGGGATATAACGAAGGAGATCTAATTATACAATGTATTCAATGCGAAAGATGGTTGCATTGCGCATGTGACTCTATCAAAAGTGAAGCGGAAGCAGAGAAATGTGCAGAAGAAGGTTACATATGTATACTTTGTCGTCCAAGAGATGTTCTGCCACCTCATCTTTTATGTAATCAACCAAAACCACAACCAAACAAATATCCCCGTTCTCCGCCACCTGCGTCGCGCAGTCCAGAATTGTATAAACCTTCTCCCCAACAGTACTTGGTTGACGGTGTCTACTTATCCGAAGCTGGAATGAATCATATAAAATCATTAACATCCGAACATCAACAAACAAGGAAGAAAAGAAGAAAAATGCATCCATTGATAGATAAAGAAGCAGACATAATGGCTACCATAGAGTCTGTAGTCGCCGGCGGTAGTTTAGATAATTCTTTAGAAGAAAATGGAGCAAAATTGGACTTGGCAGATGTGAAAGATGAACCTACCGAAGTTTTAAAAGAAGGCATGGTATGGACACCACGTGGTGACCAACCACCGCCTGAAGGTTTTAGTATTTATACAACTGAAAATGGTATACCAATTTTACGACGTAAACGCCAACGTAACTTGCAAAAGTTAGGTATCGGAGGTTTTATTGTCAGATTAAGAGGCACTCGCAAGGATAAAGAGGAAGATGGCGATCCTGAGAAACCATCTGACTCTACCGTTGGCGTAAGTGACGACAAGCCAAGGAGAAAACCACAGAGAAGAAAACCAAAGACAAAGCTATCTGAATGTTTTCCTCTCTACATGCAAGAGGCATTCTTTGGGAAAGATCTTATGGACACGACCAAAGACAAAGAACTGGAGAGTAGCAGTGAATCCGACAGTGAGAAAAATGTGTCTGGAAATGCTGATACTATTCAGCTATCTCAAGACGAACTAAAAGCAATGGAACAAGTTAAAGCTAAGCAAGAGAAAGAAGAAGAAAAACTACCTACAGAACCTTCCATCAAACGAGAAGAAATTATGGAAGACGATGGTAGTGACACGGAAGCTCTTGGCGATATTTTACCTATTTCAGGTGATTTACTTGATAGTGAGCTTGTCAATACCATCATGAATGAACCTGACGAGGATGTAGCTAAAGCTGGTGAAACATTAGACGAATTGGATGATACGCCGGGTACGAGTAAAGATGAACTGACAGATATTCTAAGTCCACATTTCAACCTAGAATCAATGGTCAGAGATACTGGATTACCCAATATGGATAGCAAAGATATCGAAGAGATATTTAAAGGGGTTTTAACTGATGAATCCCAAGAATCTCAAGAATCATCAGTGTTTTCCGTTCAAGCCCAACCTCCTCATCCCTCGTCAGCTACAACGCCCCTTGTGTCTCCTTCGCCGCATCCTGGTAAATATCTATTCTTTGATGTAATTATTTACAAATATTCAGTACATGTAATATATGAATATTAATAATTTTTATAATTACAGGAATACAAACAACAATACCTATACCAAGACCAGTACCTGCTACGCTACCCTCTGTTGGTCAATCTAATTTAAATTCTCCAATGAGTTTCCCACCACCATCTCCATATCATTCAGAGTATAGCAAGTGCGTTCATATATTTGTATACGTTGTAGAATCAAAGGTTAATATTTTCTTTAATTAATATCTTCAAACCTTTTTGTCATACAGTAGCCCACAATTCAGTCCTGCCTTTTCTGAAGTCCATGGGTCACCAAGTACATGGGTCAATCCTGATGACGAAGGTACCGCTCCGACAGGCAATACTACAATTTCATACAACCAAAGAAGTAATCTTAAAATGGAAGCTGATGAAGCTCTTGGTCAAGGGGCAACTATATCCTCTGTACTGTACGCAAATATCAATCATCCAGAATGGAAGACAGAGTACCCAGGTATGTATTATCGGATAATTGTTATATTTTCATTTATTTTGCACGTACGCTTGATTTGTTTAATAATGTACTTAATCATATCATTTAAGCTTGGTCAGAAAGATGCAAACAAATATTGAAGAAATGGCGTGCACTACCCAATGACAAGAAAGCTCCGTTTCTAACACGTGCACGGGATAATAGAGCTGCAATTCGTATGAAAAAGACTCAACAGGTAGGAGTAGTTTCTAGAGGTCTTATTAGCAATACAGGTGTTAGAGGAAGCGTGAATCTTTTATGTGACATGTATCCATTTTCATCTTCAATGATGTCTTGTGCTAACACACAGGTCAAACTAACAGCTTGTCCTTCGTGTCCAATACCCATGAAGCTGTTAAGGTTTTAATAGTCTTTTATAGTTTATAAAATCGAACAAAGTGCAGGCAGAAACATAGTATAGATCATAATTTTAAAAAGTTCATATAAAGTCGTAATAACTTCCATTTATAGTTCGGTATACTCTACTTATCTATTTCATATTGAACGTACTATGCGATTGCTTTTTTTATACTGATTATCATTATGAATGTGATTCCATTATATAATCATAGATACATATTTTCCACTTACATGAAAGTATAAGTCATTTTTCTAACGTTATCTATATCTTCGGATCATGTTTCATTAGAAGCGTAGATGCCAATTTGGTACTATAGGAATATCAGTCTAAATCTAGTTGCTCCTAATAGTGTCCCAACGTATTCCTTAGAATCCTTTTGGTGAATTATTACCTTTGTATGATGTATTCTGGAAATATGTAAGCCTTGAAATACTATAACGTAAGTGTGTGAACGAGGCACCCCTTGAACCGACAGATATCCAAGGATATACCAAGCACGACCCCAGTCACTGCAACAAGTGCACCTACCATCATCACCAAACCTGTCACAACTATGACATCAGCTCAAGTTTCTCCAGTAGTAGCTATGGCCTCCAACCAAAGGCAGATCGGACTTTTGACCTCAGTGGGCAGTGAAAAGTCACAGGATAAGAACGGAATGACTGTGTCCGCGACTGGAGTGACAGTGTCAACAGCTAGCAGTAATCATCATGCGGAGGTGTGTGCGGTGCAGGGACCGCAGAAGCAGCTAACATCTTCTTCCCCGAGTCCTTCTCCAACATCCACGACCCCTTCTTCTTCACCCAGGCCCAGCTCTGTGAATTCTATTAATTCCATTAACAGCCTGGCGCACCAAGAGATTACCGGTAGCCAGGCTAAAGTAGCTCAGTCGCCAGCCACGCCTTGCACATCAGCAACTGCTTCTTCTTACTGCAACACGGGCGCCGGTGAAGGGCAGCATCAAACGTCACCATCCCAGCAACGTCCTACACCTGCTCACATTACGATCAGTACCAGTACAATTGCTAACAGTCTGACCATCTCTCAGGCATCCCCCACTGCCAACGTTATGGTGGGGGTAGGTCCTGTTCGCCAATTATCCTCGGTAGACCACCAGATTAGAGTGCTCACCCCATCTGAAATCATGCGCACCCTCCCTTCCCTCAGCCAGGAGCACTACGATCCGCCACCCACTGCAATTATTCACACTGTACCTGTACAGTCCCCGGCTATGGTGAGCCACCTATTCTGTGCCTCTAGAGTCTTGCCTTGTGCCACGTGTCTGATCGACATTTTAGTGTCCTTCATTTTTTTGTTTTTCTTTTTTTTTGTTTCTAGAATAAAATGTATTAGATCTATCATAAATGAGTGTATTGCAACAATTTTGAACATAGATTAGTTATATTTACCAAAGATCTGAAATACTTGATGATATTAAAAATAATTTTGCGTAGTTTTCTAATGAATCATTAGTATTCTAAATAGTGTTTCAGAACATTGGTCTCTTTTATAATAGGTGATTGATTTAACATTGCACATGTATATACATTGAAATGTATTGTATTTAATTGATCAGACACTTTTAATACACACACATATATATATATATATACATTCATATATTTATTTTTATTAGATAGCGATATATTTTGTTATATTGTAGTATTATGAATCATTTATTTGCATAATTTTTTACACTGTATGTGGCATGTTGAAGACAACTGGTAGCACAAATTTTTTTGTTTCTTCCTTATCCACAATATTCCAAAAGTTTTGATAAAAATTAAAAATTTCCTCCTCTCCCATATATTTAAATAAGTATATTGCTTTTTGTGAATTGTGTTGAGTTACTTAGTAGATTTTTGTTGCGATGTAGCACTTTGTTTCCAATCTACAATGAAATTATAATTAGTTTGACTAACTTTTGTTGCTTTTTCAGATGCTTTTACGTCTTCTTATTCTATAAACTGTTACTTGTATTTACAGTATCCTAGCTAAATAAGTACTGCTATTAATTAATGTTTTAATAAGGTATTCCAAATTTTTATTTGCTAACCTGAATAACTATTATCTTTTTTTATATTGTATAAAATATTTCGTGTATATTATGCATTTTACAATATAACATACTAGGCTTTTTTTTATATTTGATTCATATGTAACAGGAAAAGTACTTACTCATGTACTAAAAATAGTACAAGCGATATACATTTCTATATTCAGTGATACAGTGCATGAAGACTACTTTAAATTTATTTAAGATGGATGTCTATGGGTGTTCTGTGTGGTAAAGCAGGTTTTTCACGTGAACCTTTGATTATATAATATTTACTTTAGATGGTGGCTGGATATTATTATAACTGTGTTGCACATACGAAAACAATGAGGTTTTGCTAATTGTATTAATTTAGTAATATGCCATTATTTTACCTGAATGTTGAACTTACAGTACACTTTTGGCTGACTGTCAACTTGCCTTATTGTATATTTTATATGGCTTTAAAAAACAGATCATTATATTCTTTAATTAATTAATTAATTAATCAAGTAACTGAATATTTGAAGAAAACTAATGTGTTGTTGCTACTTCAAAATTCATATTATGTGCTCTAATAATAGTGGTTGCAAGGATATAATGATCTTCTATTGTAATTAGTTTCATTGCTCTAATAAAATTGTTTTTGGCAGGAACAAGAGAGACTTTCCAATAGAGATCGTTCCACCAGAGAAGCAGAACAGGAACGTCAATGGAAACAATTGCAGGCATTACGCCAGCAACAAGCACAGATGCAACAACAAGTTATTCACGAGCAACGTGTGCACGGTACATGACTATTCGATTTATACATAAGTAGTCTTGTAACAACAATAAGAAGTTACAATTAACTTTTTCATATTTCCTTGTAATAGCTATTGCCAGAGTTCACAGACAAATTAGCGAAGACAATACAACGCAAATGAGTACTGACAATACTGCAGGATTAACAACACAGTTACAAGTATCCACTTCTCAGGTATTGAAATCGTCTGTCATTATAAATTAATGCAAAGCATTTTTCCATTTATCATACTTCATGGAAATTGTAGGATGGAAATCATATGGGACCATTGGCATCGCCATCTCCTGGATCACGCAATACATTTGCTGCTCCTCCTGTAAAAGTGACACGAGGGCTAGCACCTCAAAGTCCTCATCAGGGTATACCACGTTTACCTAATCAACCCTGTGCGACAATGACACGTCCAGTTGGAACCGTGGTTAGGCCTGGACTGCCGAATAATTTTACGCAACCACCATCACCGTTTTCTCCACAAGCTCCACAATCTCCACATGATTTCCCACAATCGCCAGCTTCTACACAGTCCCAAGATCATTTTCAACGTTTTGATAATAGCGAAGCGTATTCCCAAGGCTCCCAAACACCTAGGTCACAAATATCTGGCACACCTTCGTATTCTACGTCTCCTAGAAGTGACGTATTTTCTCAACCTCCAGGTACACCGCGGCCTATGTTTAATGCTCCTACTACTACTCGCCCTACTACTCATGTATATGCACCATCTCGTACACCTGATCCTTATAGTAGCCAACCACCTACACCCTCTCCTGCTCCAAACTATCCCTCGCCAAGGCCAGAATCTCGGCAAGATACACAGCAACCTGAAGTATTCAATCAACAGCCGGAAGTGAATAGACAGTTGCGCGATCTTCTACAGCGACAGCAGTTTAACAAAAAGATCGATCCTGTAAATCCTACATGGAATCAAGGTATATCAGTCAAAAATTCATAATATTTTCTATGTTTTAGCGTAATATCGATTTAATTTATTTTTATTTATAGATGGTTCGAATAATTCTGAGACTAATCAACAACAATTTGACGCAGCGCATGTACAACTTCCACAACATTCTCAAGCTACAAGTAATACGGGTGAAGGTACTTTTAGACATCCTCTTCCTCCTGGTATCGTTAGGCCCAGAATGCCCATTCAGCCAAATGTTTTGATAAGAAACCAAATTGGTATGTTTTCAGTATTTCATTTACAAGTTTCAAGATTATTACATATATCTCATCATTGTTTCTATTATGTTTACATAGGTATAAATACGAGACATCCTGTAACAGGAAATCTGGATGCCAGGGTACAGAGTATAGATCCACGAACTAGAATGTTGTTACAAAGACCACAAGTAGCTGCAACTATGCCCCAGCAACATTTTCAAGGAAATCAAAATTTACAAACCCGCATGCCAACTGTAAGGAATCCTATCACGGAGCCGTACGATGTGTTGCAACAGCAAAGGTTTCCAGGTATGTTCACTGTTTTATGTAATTATGTATCAAAGCTATATATATATATATTTGTATATTAAAAATCGTATTATTAGATCCTAATCAAGGCCAACCTATGGGGCCGCGTATAGTACGAGCACCACAGGACAATTTAAATCAAGGAATCAGAATGATAAGTACGCAAGGGATGGTGAGAGCACCCCTTATTCCAACAACGGTTAGCGAAGCAACCGTCAGTCCTTCAGAACCATCCGAGATTCCAGATAATGTAACTGCAGAGCTTGAGAAATTAGAACAAGAGGGAGCACCTATGGTCGAGGTCGAGGGAGTGAGTGCAATATTAGAAGATCTAGCCGATGACGATGATGAATTACTTGGTACGTAATTTTCCTCTTTTTCAATCGTATGACACCAAATCTAAATATAACTTAAAATTTTATTTATTACTTTTACAGCTGAAATGGGAGCAGATTTTAATATCTTGGAATACGCGGATCCTGAACTAGATAACATAACTGGTGGTGAAAAAACAAATATACTTGATCTAGATTTAGAGCAAGTTGAAGTAGAGACAAAGGACGAGAAACAAAAGAAGGAAGTCAAGGATGAAGGACAGAAATCAACAGAGTTGGGAGCCACGAGTGCAGTGCACACCGATATAAGTGACACTTGTACGACAACAACGGTACAAACGCCGACGGAGACATCAAACGCGCCGACACAAGCACAGACTGTACCACCTATTACTGTAACATCACAAACACCGCAACAACCATCTAACATTATGCCTCAATCGCATGCGCAAGCTGTTGTTGTGCAACAACAAATGCATCAACACGTTCAACAAGCAGCGGCAATGGGCAGACCTATGCCTCCGGGAACACGATTGCTATCACCTGACGGAGCAGTTGGTGTTGTTACGTCGACTAACACTGTTACCGTCAGTTATCCGTCCACATTCCCTGGACATCCTCAAAGACTACCACAGACACATATTCAAGGTGAGGATGTACGAGATATTACGAAGTTGAAAAATTATAACTAATATTTTAGTATTTCATCTTCTACTTTATTTTATTGTTATAGTATCTCAGCAACAACGTCTAAGTATGAGAGTAGCAGGCGTACCTAACGTGGCTGGAAGAGTGGTCGCTGTAAACCATATGATCGGTCCACGCATGCCGCTTGCACCACCACCACCACCACCTCCCCCACCATATCCTGGACCACCGCCACCGTACCCTGGGCCTATACAGGTTTGTATACGTTACTTTCGATGTTTTGAAATTTTTGCATCGCTTTAATCTTGAGTATTTTTACGCAATTATCTAACACTCTCCTCTAACCATGAGAAACTAAATTTCTCGCAGTCTGACAAGTAATAAATGCTTCACGAAGTATGTAACACGAATTGTTAAATTCTGTACACTATGACCGACATGAATCTTGATAGTAAATAATTTATTGATTTTATACCAAGCTCCGTATAGTCCGATGATTAGTACACGTATACATATTCATTGTAACACATTTATTACTATATAATCAATATGCAGTGTATTTAATTACGTATTTACATTTCTGTGACTCTTAACGTTAGGTACCACTCGATTTTGTAACTTCATGGTATTCTGAATTTCCGTAATTATTTGATAGAAAGCGTCGGATTTTATTTATCAAAAGTGCAAGCAAAGAAAACAGGAGATTTCGAATTTGCTATGAACGTAGGTGTAGGCAAGTAATTTATTTAATATAAGAGTATTTTGGCTGGTAAAATGGTGTTTTGGCCTGGGTGTTTGCAATGCATTGGTGTTGGTGCATGTCTAGATGGGACTGTGCCCAGGTGGGCGGGGTATGACGCGGCCCCCAGTCCATATAGGGCACCCAGTACCGGTGGCGGGTCCACCAATGGCCCCTGTGGTACATACTGGTACACCCGCAATGACACCTCACCCTCACCGAAGACCCTTGCTTCTGCAGGTGAGCAAGACTTGGGGAATTTACAGCATTCAGTATAAAGTATCACCTGCAATGATACTAAGAATTCAAGATTTTCAATATTTTAGCACCACTTCTTTTCCTCGTATTTACAAAGTAATCAATAGTTGCAAGAGATGCAGTTAATGAAAAATTATTAAATATATCTGATTACACTAGTTACTATATTTATTCAAAGAAAATATTGTTGTTAGTTAACAAAGGGTTTCCACCCTTTCATTTTCACTTATTATTAATTTGTTAATAATGATGTTGACAAAACAGTATTTGAAAAGTGTACAAGTATTACACAGAGACTGTAATTACATTGGATTTTGGATAAATGTTACTTTTATGAAACAGTTAACAAAATATGTTGCATTTATATGTGTGCATGTATGTTATAAACCATGAAAAACAGTAAGCTTGATGAACCTATAAATAAGAATATCGATATTTGCTTCAATACAATTTGGAAGTTCTATTTACGTTTACGTTTCATGTTATGGAATTTAAATGAAAGTGATTGTAGGAGTAATAATACACCTGCATGTTTGTATTTTTTTATTAGCTGGAATGGTCAGTGTGCTTTGTTTTAATCTATATTACATCGAAATTGTGGTATACAAATTGCTCATTTGATTCTCTATTCATATTTACAATATTCTGTGAAATGTTCGAAAGTTAGATAAGCTGTCAGTAGTCGTTTTCGCAGGAACAACCATTGTTGCTGGAGGAGCTGCTGGAGCAAGAGAAACGTGAACAAGAGAAGCAGCAACAGCAACAACAGCAACAGCAACAGCAGCAGCAGCAGCAGCAACAACAACAACAACATCCAAGCGATAATGCAAGCACTGGAGCATCTCTCCTTAGTGACAGTGAGTTTGAAAGATTTAAAGCAGACGTTTTGGGTTCTGCACCTCTTGCTTCTCCTCCACAAGGAATTACATCAGTACCTGGAGGAGTTCCTGTAATTAGGCCACCTTGTACACCAAGACCACCATCCGCTCCAGGTACCAGTTGGCAACAACCGGTGCCAGATGCTTCAAAACTAACAACCCAAGTGCCAAGGCAACCAATTGCCACACAAACACCACCTGAACGTCAGTATCACGAGCGTACACTTTACTCATTAAATTTGTTCCATACTCACATAAATATACAATATACAATTCATAGTCAACTTTGAACATTCAAATAACGAAATACATCTCATTCGACTGATCGAACTTGGCGTTCTTATCGTTGAAGCTCCAATTAACCACTTTTCATGTGACTGCATCAGTATGGCACAAATCAGATGAGTTAAGTGTATCTAAAAATTGACATAAATTTCAACCGGTAACTATTTTCTGTTACAGCGAGAGTTGCTACCTTTAACATAACTCAAATACCTGCTCCGCCTACACCCCCGGAGACTATCGCGAACGAACAGGATCGGCAAGCACAAGTGCAGTATGAACAGTGGTTGAATCATCAGCATCAAGTCTTGACCCAGCAACTGAAGTATTACGAAACTGAGGTACAAAAGCTGCGTAAAATACGAAAAGTAAGGATAGAATATTTTTCTGTTGCGGTGTTTTCTGTTTTCTAGTTTAACACGGTGCAGATTCATTACAGTTACACTCTTCTGTAATTTTACAGTCCCTCAATAGTAAACAGCGTCAACTACGAAAATCCGGAAACGAACTGACAGAGAACGATGCTGCTGAACTCCAACGTATTTCCAGCGAGCAAGCTATATTGCAAAAGCACCTGGACGCGAGCCGCAAACAAACCCGACAACACGGAATGTTGATACAAGAATATCAAAGTAAACAACAGCAGAGACAACCTCAACAACAAAACAGTGAACCATGTTCGCCTTTGATGTCTCCTTCGCAACAGTCACCGATGCATAGTCCCGCTGCGGTTGTTTCTCAAAGTCCTGGCCCTGGAAATGTCCCTACAAGTATGATACAGCATTCACCAGTGACTCCCATTATTCAGCACAGTCCAAACCCACCATTATTACAACATAGTCCTGGCAATCCACAGTCCGGAAATCCTGGAACAATGTCTCCTCATAACATGCAACAATCACCTAGAATCGGTACACCACATTCTCAAAGTGAAGAAAGTCCTTTCAGTCCTGGCGCTATGCCATCTCCAGGAATGTGTGGCCCGACGGCCACTAGAATGACGTCGCCTCAACATCGCGCCATTATTAGTGGAAGACTTGCAACTAGTCCGGGCGCATTTACTCCGGACGCACGAAATACACAGCAAATAATTGGAGATCAGGGAGTTAGAGTTCACAGTCTTACTCAACGTTTCGTCCGTCCACCTGCTGTAGGAGAACCCGGACAAAGACCAAGAATGCAATTGCAAGGAGGAATAGTGTATGGGCAACGTTCGCCACTTGGAAGCCCTCAACCAACGCAACAGACTTTAATTAATCAACAACACCAACAGATGCTTCAACGGCAACAGATCATTCAACAGCAACATGATAATGCTGGAATTCTCCAAGATGGGCAAAATACTATAACTCAGCGTACTCTGCAAATGGCACAACAAAGACAACAAATGCTACAACAACAACAGCAACAGCAACAAATAGCACAACAACAACGACAACAATTCTTACAGATGCAACAGCAGCAGCAACAACAACAACAGCAGCAACAACATGCCATGCAAAAACCGCCAAGTTCACCGATGGTTTCTCAACCAGCAAATTCTCCAAGTCCACAACTTCATCAACAAATTCAACAAAATTATGGACAGCCACCCAGTTCACCTATGCCTCGTAGTCCAATGGTTCAGCAAACGATGGGGTCACCAATGCTTCAACAACAATTAAGTCAAACTTCACAACCCCCTAGTCCGATGAATACCAGGATTCACAATCATCCTCCTAGTTCACCAATGATATCTCAATATCAACCACCGAGCCCTATGTCTCGTAACCATCCTTCAACGTCGCCTATGTTACAACACCAACTGAGTAACGCGCATCATCCACCAACGTCTCAACCACCTAGCTCTCCAATGCCTAGAAGTCCAATGGTTGGCGGATCTCCGATGCAAATGCAAAGAAGACAATCTACCGGTAACAGTCCAGCAATGCCAGATCGCCCGCAAAGCGTGGAGAATCCAGGAACTCCAAGGACGCCTCACACCCCGCACACACCGCATACACCACACGGTACTTATACAACTCAAAATTCAAATAATATTTCGGTGCCGACTGATCCTCAACAACAGATACAACAGCCTATTCAACATCAACAACAGTCGGTACAACAGGAACAAAATTCATCAGCCGATCATACAAATAGAGGTGGCGGCGGTGGAAATCCACATAATCCAATGAATCCAATTCCATTGTTGACTAGTTTCGGACGATTCGGATACTTCAAGCTTGGCTTGAGAGGCGGTTCCCCTATGTGGTCAACAAAAGCAGAAACCAGCAAAGGAAAGACTTCTGAATCGCATCTATTGAACATTGATGAGAAACCGAATACTTCTGTGGTTGTGCACAGAAAGACAGGTATCCCTCAGTCCAAGATAAATTCCTTGGTATGTGCCGACTATAACGATTTTGACGATGACTCTCATACACCACCGCAAACTCCACCAACTACTTTAGAAAGCAAACAGGCAACATCGTTATCCGATAACGGACCACTGACCTTAGGCAGTCCGAGTAACAAAATGGAACCGATTCCTGACACAACTGATTATGACGATGATAAAACTATAGTAAACACCGAGGTAACGTTAAGTTCAACCGCACAACGGGACAGTGACGACATCACGGTGATCGATCAATTCGGCGATTCAGAACTCGTTGATGTAATATCAGGAACACTGGAAAGTGACATGCAAGAGGAGTATGTGCTATTCGAGCCTGGAATGGTTGTGGACCTCTCCGCGGATAGCAATGATTCCCTTTGTCACGCGTTGGTCAACGAAGGCAGTCAAGGGCACGATTTGGTTCAAATATTAGAAATTGAAAATCCCGAATCTCAGACGGATGAACCGTTACTCAGCGATGAAGACTTAGTACCATCCCATGCGAGAAACAAGAAAGGCCTTAGGCTGGATATAGTTCGAACGTTGCAGTCTGGAAAAAGATTAGTAGCAGTCACAGATACACCTGAATCACCTGATCAAGAGGAACTTAGAGTAGATCCCTCACCTGGATCATACATGGACCAATCACCCGAACAAGATCTTATGGTTTCTTTCGTTAGTGAATCCGAAGTAGTGATCATAGACCCTAGTACAAAATCACCGGAGGACAATTTATCTAAAGAATCATGTACAGAAGAAGTTGAGAAAGTGGATAGCACTAGTGTTCCGGAACCATTAAAGGAAAATACAATTTCTGAGTCGGTTACGGATGACCAATCAAAATCCCAGAAAGAATCAAAGCAGAATAAGAGTCCTACGTCGTTTGTCTTTTCCGAGAAAGTATTGTATAATCAAATCCCCCCATCAAGCGTGCATCATGCGAACATCGGCGTCTCGTCTGTCAGCAAGCCAACAGTTTCCTTATCTACTCTTGGAAGTGCAAATATTAGTACCAGCAATGTAAATACAACTACTACGTCTACAAGCGTGTTAGTAGCTACAGACTCGGCTGTTAAATCGACCCCTGTGTTTACAACCTTGAGCATTACAAAAGACACTGTGTCTACTTCGTTTAACAACAAGAAACAATTGCCATCGACCATGGCGAGTATTGTCGCGGATGCGAAAATCGCGGCCAAATTGAGTCAAACGGCTTTAGTTAGTTCACAGAACACAGTGAAAACAGAGTTATTGCCAAAAGTCGATTTACCAGGACCGGAAGCTTCTAAATCCATCACGACAGCTTCGGACAAGCTAACACTGACAACTTCCAGTTTGCATAACGAGTATACATGCTTCGTGCAAAATGCCATTACGACTGCATTAGTGACAGCAAGCAATCCTACAAAATTGGTTTTGAGTGTGCAACCGACTTCCGTCACACTGTCCACGCCAAAAATGTCTATACCTGATCTCCCTAAAAAGGAAACCGGAAATAACTTGATATCGGTGTCAAAAGAGAATCAGTTGGAACATTTTGACAAAACTTCAAAGATTAAAACCGAAAAGGATGAAACTGATCATTTGGTGAAAAATTTGGACGAGAACAACGTGGATTCATTGAGCGTGAACGTTGCCACGAGTTCAACCGTAGGATCGGATTCAATATCGTCAGACAACAAGAAGAATGATCCATTAAATACAACGGATGAATTAGAAAGCATGTTGGAAGCAATTCACAATCCTGCTGAGAATACCATAAGCAGGGAAAATGCTCACACGGACAATAAAACAGATGCTGTTTCGTTGAAAAGAATATCACCTGTGACGGATGATTTATCATTGGTAAACATTTTGGAGAATGATGCGGAGTCTGTTGAGAATGAAAACAAAGATGAGGCTGTGACAACTTCGGAAGCGCAACGGATTAACAATAAGCCAAAGGAGATCGAGACGAGCATCGCGGACACCAGCAGCTTGAGCGTGCCACAGAAAGACAAGAAACTCCAGCATGATGAATTGTGCGCAGACATTGAAACCAGCAAACCATACGTGCAACACTGTCTTAACGAAGAGAAGGGCATGATGGACGAGTCATCCGATGATATACTGGACATGCTGCACAATATAATATCATCCAAACCTGAAATGGCTAACAGTGAAATCCTTCAGGAAGACAGATCCAGGAAATCAAGTATGATGTACGAATTACCAACACCGTTGGACACTTTGCCTTTGAACATTCTTCAAGATTCATTGATGGATCTGGAGCAGGACCACTCGGATAATGAACATCTATTGCCGAACGAGAGCAAAGTATCAAAGCCACGAAAAGCAAGCTCGCCACCTGTAGAACCAACACCGAAAAAGAGTTCTCCGATTCCGCATCAGAGTACACCTCTAGTGGTGAGCACCATAGCACAGTTACAGAAGTGTACGACAACAGTCCCTCATCTCTCACCGTTATCGAAACCCACCGAACTGACGTCGAACGTTGCCAACGTGTCGCATCAACTGAGAACGTTACTATCCTCACTGCAAACAAACCACTCTCAAAACTGTGCGACTGTAAATCAAACAGCAATCGTGACGATGGTATCGTCATCAATCTCGGGCCCAAAATTAGGAAATATACTGTCGACGACGAGCACGTCCACCTCAAATTCTGTAAATAATCTGCATAGTAACACGAACGTTCGTCTACAGACGTGCATGACCACATCTCACGCGACGACGCCGAGCAAAGCCGACTTAGAGACTACCACAACTAGTTATACCCCACATACAAAGGAAAGTACAAATTCTACAGTAAGCGTTGTTTCTACTTTGTGTAAAGTCATGCCTTCGGATCCATTTTTACGAGTAACTTCCAGCGGGATACAGTCGCAATCTAGCAGTAGCCTTTCTTCTCTACAAACATCATCTGTGATCACCCCCAGACCGCCGACCAATTCCGGGATCTCAATTACTTCAAACGCGATGCTGAGTGCTATGCTAGCCGGAACAAATTCCGTAAAACCGACCATCGCTGGTCATAGAACCAACACCGCTCCAACGCAAGCCAGCAATTTGCTGAGCTCAGTCATGGCGACCTCGGTGCAACGCACCCAGAGTCTCCAAGCGATACTGCAAGTAAGTTCAGGAGTTTCCTCGGCTCCGTCTCGCGTTGTTGTTAACGCTACTTCGACCACGGTCACAACATCCATGCAATGTGTCAGAACTATCGTGCCGCCTATAGTTACAACAAGCACCAACAACATCAACGTCACCACCAGTATATTGCAGTCCACGTTATCTCAGACACCTACCCTTTTACACTCTCAACTCACGTCTGGACAAAACCAGTACAAGTCGACTGGACATTTATCAGTGGATAATAAAAATACTGATCTTGAGAGATTGGCTCAGAACACGCCTTCGAAGAAAGACCAGGAGGAGCCGAACTGCAAACTGCAACCAGTGCTTGAAAAAACACCAACTACCAGATCAGAACTAGAATTGAACAAAAGTACCACCGGTTCACATAGGATGGAAGAGTCGCAGAATGTATTGTTGAAACAATTACTGCAGAACACTGCGTGCGCTACAACGACATTGTCTTCTAGTTCTTCTCAAGCTCCTAGCTTGCCGCTAGTACCATCGCTGGAGGCACAACTTGCAAGACCTTTGCCGCCTACACCGTTTTCAGTGTTACCACCTCTATTGAACGAAGTACCGGCACCTAAAGTCTCCGCCAACAAGCAAGTTCTTACAAGGGAGACGTCGTTTCTATCACAGTCAGTGACACCTTTGAAGGTACAAAGTCCCCCAACCAAAGAAGAACCACCGAAACCACCGCCACCATTGTCAACGCCCGCGCCAGTTTTATCGCAACAACGTGTGGCAGACAGTTTCTC